AATATATCTATCCTTTAATGTTAATAAAGACTTTATAACATAACATAAATGATTTTTAAATAATGATAGTTCTCAAAATAATGATAGTATATGTATTGTTTTTATTTTAAAAGTTTCTATATAAAATAATTGATTGGATGAAAACAAATTATTTTAAGTTTTGATAATTATAAATTAAGTTTTAATAATGGTTTATTATATATCAACAAATTCTATTATTCATTAAGGTTAATAATTATTTCAACCGCTTTAATTTCGAACGTAAAAGGTCGGACACAAAAAAATCACTTCGCAAATAATAGTATAAACTTGGTGTTTGGTTCGCATATGCGGCCATAATGATATATTATTACAGATATTATCTAATATTACATTATTTACAGAAAATGCATGTTAAGTATATAATAAATTATGAATTTAAAATTTCATTAAGAGTTATTACATATAAATTATTACAGATATTATCTAATATTACATATACTGTTATTAATTGCAATACGACAAAGAATAAATTATTGATCAAATATTCAAAATATTTAATAATAAATTGAACAACAAATTATGTATATATATACAGTTTTCATCATCATAGAAATATTATTGTTACATATAATAAAATTGAAAACACTCATACATTTGAAATATTTCGTAATAAATTAAAAATTAAACTATTTACAAATGACAAAAAAAATTAGTATAAAATAAACTTGAAAACACTTATCTATACATAAATTATATTCTTATTAAAAAAATTATATTCTTATAAATGAAGATTATCAAATCAAGGAGATTGTTTTTCTGGTTAATTATATATTAATAAATCTAATAATCCATTTAGATAAATAAAAATAGTGATAATTATAAAATTATTATGAACTATTTTTAGATAATGACAATTATAAAAATTATGTTTAGATAATGATAACTATAAAATTAATGAAATTTTTGTTTTTAATTTATGATTAATAATATATTAACAAATATAATTAATTTATCATTAAATTTTATATTGAAAATATGACAAATAAGTAAAATTAGCTAAATTTAGGGGTAGTATGACACCTCAGCAAAATTACTTCTTAAATACTAGTATAGATAAGTACTATGTGATTTTCTCGTATTCATGCACATACATAATATTTAAAATTAAAAATCATAATAACGGATTACTATGTCCTTTCCTTTATTTATAAAATTTAAGTATTTTATAATTTATATGTATGAAAATAAATCAATTAATTAATTTATATAGATATGTGACTTTACTTAAAACATTATTAAATAAAACTAATTGAACCAATAAAAAAAATGTAGTACTTTTATGTAAGTGGTCACAATTTTCAAACAACATAAAATATTTTCCTAAAATAAAGAGAAAATCTCTTATTTTGTAACAAATGAATTAAAACATCAAATAAACTAAAACAGATGAAGTAGATATTTTTTTTGGAGAGTACATGGTTTCAAATACAATTTTAGGAAATGATCTAATAAATCTAAGATAGGCGTGAGTTATATTTTTATTTTAAAATACAGTTTGAATAATATTAATATTCAGCCTGTTATATTTTTTATGTGCATATGGAGTTTATAGTTTATTATTGCAATTTATTTTATTAAATTAATGAATATTATTAATGATGCTCATTTGTATAAGTTTTGGTTTATTAGATACTAGGGTCAACCGCCCTACGGCGGGATATATTTTATTTGTGATCTAAATTATTAATTTCTTATAATTTTATGGTTTTTATTTGCAATCTACTCACTATTTGTTATATTTTCAGTGTTGGAATTAACGCAGGTTAAGCAATGTGAAATTTAATTTAATTATTTTTTGTTTATGCTTTAAATACTTTCATCTTGTTATTTAGTTTTTCGTATAAACAATTGTTAAAATTTACAACTCATTAAAGATTAGTTTATATTTTTAGAATTATTCAGTTTCATTTCCCTGGCATTGGTCTTTAAAGGCAAAAAAACGTAGAAAGTGGTTCTTTACATTTTATATATTAAACGTTAATATATTCTTTTAGCTAATTTAATTTATTGCTATTTAATTTTGGTTTGATAGAGTACCGGAGTTGTTTATCTGGCTGACCAAAGAAACCAATTTATTAGCTAAATTGTTGCGTAGGAAAAGGCTAAAAAGATGTTTTAATTAATTCATTCAACAAATACACTCTTCAATTAAAACAGCAACAAAAAAAAATATCGTTCTACTTCTATGACACCATTTGTAAAGGCTATCAAATTTATTCCCAGTTGGTCACTGCGGCAGTTGGTGGCACAGCCGGGTCCAATCCACCTTGTGCTGCTGGAGCAACTGAATAAAAAACAAAACAAAAAAGAAACCACTAAAACCAAAACATCCAGAGAGGTAACACAGGGTGGTTATAGGATATATCTGTTGAAAAAAGACTCACCGCTTGAATCGTTCCATGAACAAGCGAAAGGAGCAGCAGAGATTGGTGCCTGGGCTTCTCCTGGCTATGCAGCATCAGGGATTGCAGCAGTTGTCCACTGGTCTCCACCTCCATACTCAGGAGCAGAGGTGCAACTTCTTCCTCATCCTCTGGCTTAGCCTCCTCGGGTTCCCTGTAGAAGAACATGTTAACCTGTACCAGCACAACAATGTATAGAGTAAGCCACACACTAAACATGAACATAAGATATTTAACTACAGACTTCTATGTAAGCCTTTTCAAGTTTTTCGTCTTACCATGATTGGGATGTTTCCCAAAGCACCTTCCTTGATGGGCTGCAACACATACACAAACAACCAAGATCAAAGTTAAGACAAAACCATCATTTCAATGAGGAAAAAGAACTCATTAGTCCAAATCTTGACTTTACTTGGTGGTTGGTACGTGGACCAGTAAGAATCAAAAGCCTTGGCTCACTGAATGAGGTCAGCATCTGATTAGTGAAGGTACCAGGAGTGTGTCTTCCAGCAATAGCATTGGCTCCAGTGTACTGAGCGAACTTCAAGACAGCTCTCTGACCATAAGACCTAGCAGATTGAACAATGATGTCTTGTGGGTTCTCAATCGCAACGATAACTTTAGCAACCATCATCAGCTTCTTCTATGTTTTTCCAAGGTTAAAGATGTAAATACCTGAGTAAGAACATTTCATTAAAAAAACTAACACTTTCAACCTTTACAGACTCAAACATCAGCCAGAATAGTGTTCAAACCACAAAACTAATAAAATAACAGAACACACAATGACGGTTATAATCCACTGTCTCAATTTTCTTACTCATAAACCAAATGGAAACTATATCTTTTATATTATAAAACAGAAGTCAACTGACAATTCTGTAAATGACATGTGTCATTTAAAAATATTATTGTGTTTTTTTTTTCAAAAATGTTGTTAATGTCAATTTCTTTTAAAACAATTAAATTATTAAAAAGATATTTCTAGCCAAACCGTCTCCCACTGTCTCTACTGTCCCATGATCTCCACTTCTTATGACCTTTAAAAGGTGTTGTTATATTTAACTGAAATCATAATTATACATTTGAAAGATCGATTTAAAAGAAAACAACTGTTTGTTTCACGTAAAACTCAGAGAACTCTCAAAACACATGTATTTATTTAAAGTAAAAACTTTCTATCCCGAAAACACATGTACTCGCTGGATATAGACATCGAACAAGATCACCAACTCCTCATGGTCTAACAGTCATGGCGAACAAATCTCTAACATTCCTCCTATTAACGCTTGCCAACTGTTTTCATCTTCCAAATGCGTTCAAGTTCTTCATCAGAAACAGTTGTTAACTATTAAAGGTATGTATCTCTATATATATATACTCATTCAAATGGTAACCAGTGGCCCTCTTATAATTTTAATGTTATGAATTAAAGTTCGTCAACACCAAGGAGATACAACCATACGAGGTAGTTATTTTTTATTTGTTAAAATGTTTATTTTTAACTTATTTTGAAAACATGTTTTAAAGAATAATTTTAATTTTTATGGTCTTATTCATTTGGTGATTCTGACAAGCTTCATTTGTTGTATAGGAAAAAAGACAGACAATTTTATCCAATGTACACACGAGCAGTAACGACCATCACAAAAAAATATGTTACGTTCACATACAATAAAAAGGTAGTTTTTTTTCATTGATTTTCTATATATATTCGACTTTTTTCACATTTGGTATCCATTACATGGTTATATTAAAATATGTGTTAATATAAATACATTATCATCGTTTTGATGTAAAGGTAGGAGATTATATTTTTCTTTTTCGGTTCTCTAAAAGTATTTTAATATCCTTTTTGTGAAAAACTTCAGGATAGCTTATACTCCAGGATATAGAAGTTTTTAATGTATCAAACCAAAACCTTATTTAAAGTGAAACAAAAATTCGAATGTTTTCATTGGTTCATGTTTCACGTAGTTTTGATCTATTTGTGGGTTTCTATATAGATTTATATTTAATATAATGTTTTTTATTTTAAATTAATAATTATTTTGTCCCTGCTATATTCATATTTAATATAATTTTTTTGCCCCTGCATAGCAGGGGCCATAATACTAGTTCTATATAAATACTGAACCAATCTGAGTAGCAGGAAGATAATCTCACTGCTCTAAACAGTACTTTAGTATCTATCTAGACATATTAATACACGAAATGATGACAGACATGGCTAGTTAGAACGTTTATGATGAATATTTTATGAATCTTCAATTTGTTGAGATTTTTTATTTATATAGTAGATTATGTAATTTTAAAATATAATTTTGTGGAACAATATGTAATAGATAAGATATTGAAAATAAATTAAGATTATGTTAATTAGAATATATTTTGATTGCACCATTATCTAACTATATTAAAAGGGCTATATGCAGCCTTGTGAGTTATCCACGTTGGATAAAATATTTAACCAATAAGAACATTTCCTTGTGCCATGTCAGTTAGGCATTACCGAAGTTGGGCTTGATTTTTTAAAGATCAGGCAAGTAAATAACAGAAACCCAGAAGCTCACTTCATCGATTCTTCACCCCGGTTTTTTCGCCTACGCCATATCCCCTTTCTAATTTCGTCGAAACCCTAATTTTGCCTAACTGATGTGTTATAAGAAACTGATCATGTGATTCTTTCTTGCTTTGTTGATCATGTTTGGATGAACTTTGTACTGATTTGTTTCTGTGTTTGCACCAGCTTGACAGATTCATTCCCAACAGATCAGCCATGGACTTCGACTATGCTCACTACGCCCTTACCGAAGGAAGGAACGGGAAAGACCAGGTAGCAGCAGCGGTAAGCTTACCATCCACAGAGGCCTACAGGAAGCAACACTCGGATTCTCGCCTTCAGAAACAAACCTCAAGCTCCTGTCAAGTTGCTTCCACGGACCACTCTGCTTATCTTCACCAACAACCCAGATCCGTTAAGCCTCGCAGATACATTCCTCAGGTATGTGTTATGGCGCTTTCAGAGAAAAGATCCGTATCTACTGTGTTGTTGTATTGATCTGTTGTTTTAATCTCTTATGTTGTATTAACAGACTTCTGAGAGGACATTGGATGCACCTGACATTGTTGATGACTTCTACCTCAACTTGCTTGACTGGGGCAGTGCTAATGTTCTGGCTATAGCGTTGGGACACACTGTTTATCTCTGGGATGCCTCCAGTGTTCCACATCTGAGCTTTTCACTATTGATGAGGAGAAAGGACCTGTCACAAGCATCAACTAGGCACCTGATGGTCATCATGTTGCAGTTGGGCTCAACAACTCTGGAGTCCAGCTTCGGGATTCTGCATCCAACCGTCAAGTAACTACAAAAATCCCCTCTCTCTCTTCTTTTGTTGAGACAAAAATGTTTGTCATCATGTCTTAATTATGTGTTGTACTTTTCCTTGCAGTTGAGAACATTGAAGGGTGGACACCAGTCTACAGTAGGATCAATGGCGTGGAACAACCACATCCTCACAACGGGAGGAATGGTTGGTCTGATTGTCAACAACGACGTACGAATCAGATCACACGTTGTGGAAACTTACAGAGGCCACACTCAAGAGGTTTGTGGGCTACAGTGGTCAGGATCCAGGCAGCAGCTAGCAAGTGGTGGCAACGACAATGTTGTACACATATGGGATCGTTCTGTGGCCTCCTCAAACTCGACCACGCAATGGCTCCACAGGCTGGAAGAACATACGTCTGCAGTTAAAACCCTTTCCTGGCGCCCTTTCCAAGCGAATCTGCTTGCAACAGGTGGTGGTGGAGGAGATAGGACCATAAAGTTCTGGAACACTCACACTGGAGCTTGCTTGAACTCAGTAGACACTGGCTCCCAAGTTTGTTCGTTGTTGTGGAGAAAGAATGAAAGAGAGTTGCTTAGCTCACACGGGTTTACACAGAATCAGCTTACGTTGTGGAAGTACCCTTCTATGGTGAAAATGGCTGAGTTCACTGGTCATACATCAAGAGTCCTATACATGGCTCAGGTGAATAGAAAAAATTAAACAATTTGTCTTGATAAAAGTGGTTTTAGTTTTGAGGTCTTTAGTTCTAAAACTTTGTATTATTTATCTGTGTTTTCTACAGAGCCCAGATGGTTGTACCGTAGCTTCAGCAGCAGGAGATGAAACTCTGAGATTCTGGAATGTTTTTGGAGTCCCAGAGACCGCCAAAAAACCTGCTCCAAAAGCAGTCCATGAGCCATTTGTCTCATGTGAACCGTATTCGTTGAAGAAACTGTGAAAAGAGACTAAAGAGCAAAGAAAGTCAAGCAGTGATACATAAGACTAACAACAAAGTTAAGGGTGAAATAAATAGTTCAGTTTATGATTGTGCTAAAAAATTATCACTGGCTTTAAAGAAGGACTCTTAGGCAATCGCGGAGAGGATTCATTGCTCTCTTTGTTTCCCAACGTTTAACTCTCTCTGAGGTTAGTATAAAGAACCAATTTTAAGGTTCTGGGTTATGTTTAATTTCATCAATGCCTTGTGTTCATCTTTTGACCTCTGTAACGATCGCTATCTGTTGCTGAACAATGATGGCCGATAAAAACATTGCCAAGCTTGATGCTTTTGATATGTTTGTGAACATAAAGAAAGATTGTTTCTTTCTTTGCTTAAAGCTCTTTGTTTTTAAAACTAATGAGGGTTCCTTGATAGTATTGTAGGCTACTGGAAGCTCAGTTGATCACATGAGTTGCTTTGGAGACGCAGCTTGACGGCTTCAGGAAACCGGTACGTTAGGTTAGAGACAACTAACTGGTTTCGTATGAGTGAAAAGCCAACTTGAACTGCTTTTCTTTTGTGTTGTTAATTTGCAGCTCTAGATGCATCCACTAAAGGGAACCGGTACATCAACTCTTGCCTCATGTACTTTCATAATGATCTCGATGTTTATGTTAGTATTTTCTGATCATAAGATCACCAAGAGTATGTTTCCAAATATGTTGCTTCATACGATTCTTTAACTTTCAAATGCATTCGAGGTTGTGATTTGTCAACGAGTTATTTTTTGGAATTCAAAATGCAGATTAAACCAGGAAATTAAAGGCGTTGAGAGTCTGGCAGCTAGGTTGTATCGTTAATATAGTTCTTTATGTGTCACCCATGTTGTTTAGTGTTGTACACAGGGGGATTAATACAAACCATGTTTAGCTCCAAGCTTTCTTAATTATGGTTTTAGTCAGAAAATTGTTGTAATTCCTTAATAAATCAATCTGCAGAAAGCACCTGAGAAATGTGGATGTTCTTGACACTGCTGTGAACAAGCTTATCTGTCCTCCATGACAAGTCATCAGCTTTACTAATTTTTTTACTTTATTAAAAGTATTATTGTATTGTAAAATATTAACCTAACACCGGTATATTTTTTTTCAAATAATATCTCTAGAATATATGTTCCACACTAACGCCAGCCTCCAACAACTAATTCTCATTAAATTGTCTTTCTTTATTCTTTCAACCGCAGACATGGAAGTGTTTAGACTTCTTTTGTTTCTTATCTTATATAAACTCATATTGATTTCTCTGCTACATGAGAAACCACGTAAAGCCTCAAACCACGTCAACCAATAGCGACCATTTCCGAAAAACTCCATTGGGAGGCTGCTATGGCTCAATTTTTTAGCGACGTTCACTGCTTAGCTGAATCAGAGCGCTCCATTTCCGTTTACTACATCTTCTAGAAAGCACGAAACACAACTACAGGGGAAGTTTAATTTATCTGGAGCTGCTTATGATTGTGAAACAACGATTTGAGTTATTATTATTGCTATAATAATTGTGCTCGCAATTCGTCCATATTTTAGTATGTATTTTAGTATGTTACTCATCGCTGAAAATCTGTATTATTTTTAATATCTATTTAAATAAATTATTTTTCATTCTATAAACTGTATTATTTTAGCTTCAAACAATGATAAAATTCTAAAATATAATTTTATAGTTATACATATATATATACATACCTAACTTAAAATCAAATTAAATTTACAAACCAGTTGGACCGGTGTGACCATTAACCAAACTGCAATGTGAAGTTAATTTTCGGTTTGATATTCAAAATAGTGATAGTAAGAATAAATAAATATTATTCATAACAATAAAATATATACAATCTTAAATTTATATCATATCATTTTAAATTTAAATAAAAGTTAATTCATTTTATATACTTAATTTCAGATTTTGAGAATGATTATTTTCTACCAACATTTGATGATAGAAAATATAAAACTATAGATTAAAATATTACAATAATTATTATGTAAATTATTTATACCAAAAATAAAATGAGGTTTTTGTTAAAAAACACGATCCATATTTTGTAAGAAAAAAAATTGTTCATTATTAGTATTTTTTATGAAACTCTTATTTGAGTTAAATATAATGATTTTGTCAATCGTTATCTTTTTCAATTTAATTTAACATTCTATTACTTATGTTTTTAATTATAAATTTAACTATACAATATATTATATATATAAATAATATAATTAAAAAATTTGTTTAACAGACCAGCCGCGCGTAGCGCGGCCAAAAGATCTAGTAACTTTAATGATAGTCTAAAACCAAGTTGATAAAATAGTATTCTAATTTAATAGATTAGATATTCAAAATAAATGATCATTATTATTTATTCCTATACATGGGGATGTCTAAAAGGATTAGTAAAATTTCTTTTGAAGATTTATTTAGTGTTTTTGAATAGATAAATCGATAATCAAATTGTTTTCCTTAAAATTTTGGATTATTATTTAATTTTTAAAGTTATGTAACCCTCAAAATTAAAATTGCAAACAAATTACATCGCCGCAACCACATGTTCAAAAATAGTATATTATAGGACAAATAAAATCATACGATAAAACAATAAAAATCTCAATGCAAACCACTATAATAGCATGAGATGATTAAAAAAAAGTGGAACAAACCATTTAAAAGGATTCACTATGATTATCATTACATAAAGGATTGAATATTAAGTTATACGGCCTGGTCGTTCGGGGCCATTTAGTTTCGGTCCGGATAATTCGGATTTTCGGATTTTTGGTGTTATCCTCATAAGTACCATTTAGTTTTTACTAACTAGCGGATCGAGTTCGGTTCGGATCTAACCAAAGTTTAAAATTGTCCAAAATTTATTTTTTAAAACCTCGAAAATTGACCAAAAAATTAAAATATATAAATTGTTTACAAATCTAATTAAAAATTAGTTAAACTATCTAAATTAACTAAAAAGTATTCAAAACAAAAAATTAAAAAATTACAAAAATATTTTGAATACTCTAAAGTATCTAAATCATCTTAACAGATATAAAACATTAATATATTTAACTAGTTCTATATCATCGAATCCTAATTCGGATTTTGGTTCGGTTCGGATTATAACCAAAGCTCTAAGTTCCGTTCGGATATTCTTATAGAACAGTTCGGATTCGGTTTCGGTTTTTCTGGTTCGGGTAGAGGTAAAAACGCCCAGGCCTAACATTATGTATAGTTGCATCATTCATCTGTTTTATGAGCAACTCTAAAATAATAATTACTAGATTTTGACCTGCGCTTGAAAAGCGCGGAAATTTTTTATGATTAAAAATTTATATAATTGGGTTTTGTCTTAATTTAAAGAATGTTTTGGTATAAAATTAGTTAACCAAAATTTGTGGTGATAGTTGTTTTTCATTAGTTTTTAGTTTCAGTTTTTATTTTTAGATTTTTTTTTAAAAATTTTGGTTTTAAGTTTTTAAGTTTCTATTTTTGATTTTTAGCTTTTGCTTTGGGTTTTTAATTTTTAGACCCGCTGAGTTAGTTTAAATTGATATTACCAACAAACAAATCTCAATTAATCGAACATGTAATTTAAAACTGAAAAGATGACAAAATAATTATCTAAAAATTTTGAAAATTATTTAAAAGTTACTATTAAAATTTATCAAGATAGAGTGATTGTTATTTAAAATAAAAAATATTAACATATTTTAAAATACATGATTTAAATAAGTGATTAATAATAGATAATTTTGTTTTGTTGAAAATATTAAATATTTCCGGGCTAAAAAATATTAACATGTTTTAAAGTAAATTATTTAAATAAGTGATTAATAATAGATAATTTTGTTTTGTTGCAAATATTTAAATATTTTTGGGCCTGAAAATAGTAATTGATTTTTGATCCATTAAGGTAGAAAGTTTATTTAATGTTTTTAGAGTTTTTCTTTAATACTAAGCCCATAAACCAAACAATTAAATGTCATAAAAACAAAAGTAAGCCCAAAACTCTATTCCATAAATAACCGCCGGTTTAATTTAAGTAATGCGGTTCAATCAACTATATAACTTGTATTAGTTGTAACACTCTAGAAAATGTCCAAATTTAAATGATAACTTGTATTAGTAGATAAAAAGAATAACTCTATTTTAATAGAATAGATGATAGACTATAAGAATACATTGTCAAAAATGTACTATAAGAATGTTACGTACTAAACCAGATAATATAAATAGAGGTTAGCCTTTTTTCTGATCAACTAAAATAGAAGCTAGTTCACATACCAAATATGGAATACCAATCTTACTATATAGAAGACACCTTCCCCATTTTAGGGAGTACCACCTAAGATAATAGAAGAAGTATACGCTGCCATGTAGCATGATTTAAATTGGTAAAAAATGACTTTTAACAACTTTTAGTAATAGGCAACCATAGATTTAAAAGAGCCACGTATTTTGGCCTCAGACCATGTACGTTTGATAAGTTTTAAAAAAAAATTATATGCTACAATTTAGAAATTTCTGAAAAATAAAACCTAAATTTATGTCAACCCGCGATCTTACTAGTGTGACTACAAGTTTATAATCAAAAAAAAAAAAAGGTTTTATAATCACACTAACCCAGTAGCAGCCCGATAACAAGCTTTAGAAGTTGTAGCTTCCTATCCTAAAATAATATCTAAAACTAGGATAAGACCTGCGAAATGTGCATGATGAATGTATGTAATTAATATATAAAATTTTAGTATTAACAAATTTAAAATTTACATATGATTGTTTTATATATATTTGGAATTTTAGAATTTTAGAATATTGAAAATTTTATATAATTATCTAGACGTAGGATCGGAAACAACTGTGATTAGAACAATAGATCAAAGCTTAGAATTTAATAGACCCGATTTCATATATCTTTTCACTTTTCAGTGTTCGAGTGATGGAAAATAAACAGAATGTTACAGAGCTTGATTGATAGAATATTAGCAAATCTCCTAATGCTTTCTTAAGAAGCACTTGGTAGAATATTTGCATTTGTAATATATAAAGTTTCAAAACTAATTTAATATAATTTATTTATTTGTCTAATAATAGCAGAAATTTATATTTAAAAAAATGTAAAGAAAGAAATAATTTTATAAAAAAATAATTTAAATATTAAATTATTAAAAAAAAATTAAAAACAATATTTCGAGTTTTTCAAATAAAATTAAAAATGAAAATAATTATGTTCATGATTGAACATAACCATAATGATTTTAAAAAAAATTAATCATGATTTTTCAATTTACAAATTAATTATATTTATGAGAAATTTACGTTCTCGTGTCAATCCTATCTATTTTCAATAATTTTCTCTTTTTGTGTTTTTTATTTTGGTTATTAATCGATATAAATATTGATTTTGAAGTTTATTCTCATTTCGTTTGTTTATTTTGGCCTGAGATTTAGAAAATGCTGAAGATTTAAAATAATTAAAGAGATACATACTTAGGTTAAGATCTGCACTTTATGCACAATAAGTATTTTATAGTTATTACTTTTTATATTTTTCTGAATATTATGAAATAATAAAATAATAAGTATATATACTAAATAACTAATAAATCAATTACTATTATGTAATAAATTGGCGTATGCATATAAATCTAACGATCACTCCTGTTTATCGCAATTATGGTAAATAAATAAAAACGATCAATCTTATATATCGTATATGATATTAACATAGATATATAACATACTTTTAATATGAATATTTACTAAAAAGAGGTTTCTACTCATATAACTTTATAATTATTTGTATATTTGTGTAACAAAATTTTACACCAACGAATGTTTTTTTAATGTGAGATGTTTAGTGGTTTTAATCATTTATAATCATTTTAAAAAAAAATGACAGATTTCAAAATTAAAATATTAAATTTTCAATATATGTTCGGTAAAACCTATTAAAATAAAATTATTTCTTCATATGGTCGTATAATAATTGTATCTTAATATAGAAAAAATTAAACATTGATCATAAAAGCTTATGTGAGACTTTTAACAGTTTTAGTAATTTATACTCATTCTGAAAAAGTCGAAATACAACATACATAAAAAATCTAAATTTTTATTATAT